TTAATGCCTCAAACATCCGTGCACATCAATTTTGTGATGTTCTTACTTCAACAAAACAGTTGAGTGTCATCTCGCCAAACGGCGCCGCCCGCTCTGTCCCTGAGGCCTGCAGTCGAGGGGCGGGACTGCTTTTGTGCTGCACGATAGCGCGCTGTCGCTCCTGCGCTACACAGCCGTCAAAATGGCACCCGTCCATCGCTGATGAAGAAGTTACCCGCTGAAAGTTAGCTTCTGTTATGGCCTGTTTGCTCTGTGGAAGTTTGCCGCCTGTCAAAAGAGTTGCCTCTATCGAGATGTTTGCTCAGCTCACAAAGTAACATGTCAAAAAGTTTTCCTCACAAACTGAAGGCAGCCGGGACAGGCAGCGCAGGGCAGGAAAATGACGGGCTGGATTGGCAAGGGCAAGTTTGATGGATGTCTTAACTGCCGGATAGGCTATTGTCGGTGAAATGAAGTGCGATTCTAGCCGCCATATTGCTCTCAATTCTACAAAGCCATGTCTTATTTGACGTGTTGAAAAGCTGCAATCGAGTGATTACACCAAGCGCAAAATCAGCAGTTTCATTTCACTTTTGTGTGATGTCAAGCAGAAAGTATCTGGCATACAATGGATAGTTGAATCACTATAAACTTGTCAACACAGATTGCCTTCGCCACGTAATGGTCATGTTAATTTAGCCCATCATCCTTATTTCGGGAAACCACCATCCAAACAGCGAAAGTCATGTCTTTCTTCGCTCGCCACCTCGATGAAGGAAGTCACTCTTCCCTCCCACTCGTCTCTTGGCGCTGGTGCAAAATGTTAATGATCACATATCAAACGTGTAAAGGACACCATCCTCCCCGCCCCGTCACCCGTTAGGCGATAACTCCCGTCAGCGTTCACCTCAGGCAGATAACCTCAGGCCCGCCCGTCATAAATGCCTCCGCAGACGCGCTGGCGACGGAAGCGCTCCGTTTCACGAGCGGTCCTCATTCAGCGGTGTCTATCGCTCCATTGACCGCGCCGGGAGCTGTATATCGGCGCGGACGGGTGATTGTCTTTGTGGCCGCGCCGACCCGGTCATTTCCTGCGCTGGCGGCGGCGCGGCGCGGGGTGGTGCGGCCACCGCGGCCCTCCCGCCCGCCGGGCACCGGAGAGGGAGGGTCGGCCGGGGCGGCCAGAGAGGCCAGACTGCGTGGCGGGATGGAGGAATGTTAACTGGCCCAACTACAATTAAAAGTGTAAAAAGGCGAGAACAAAAAGGCGGCCCTTTGCAGGTGTTGTGTGAATAATGGGCCCGGCTGACCCTGGCGGCAAAAACACGGGCAAAAATGCCCACATCAGAGCGCCGTGTGCGTCTTACGTGTTGGTTATAAAGACGGGCATTAATTTCTGCGTGTCCATGAGGCGGTGGACGCCGCTCAGATGGGATTGGGTGGGACTCGGTGGCGTGAGAGAGGTGGTGCTGCACCTCGGCAAAAGCTACGAGAACAAATGGAGAAACAATGGCCCTGGTAGGGTACAGGAGGATTGGGTCGTTTGACCTTTAGATAGAAGTATTGGCAGGAATGAAATAGGTGAAAGCGCTCGTTGTAGAGATGTCAATCAGATACGTTTGGTATGCCGATACCAAACAGAGATTATTTTGGCATTTGGTATTTCACTTAAATGTTTCTTTTTTGTATTTTGTCGGTATCATGAATGCTCACTGAACTCTGAAGTATAAGAGACTGTAGATTTCGTAGGAAGTTGGTATTTCACTCGATTTTTCGAGTTGCCTTTTTGTATTTCTACATGGTTTTGGTTGGTGTTTGTTTTGGTATTGGTATCCCGATTTACTGTAATTAATATCACTGATTCACTGTGTCATTTCTTCTCTGGATCTTAAACAGCATGCACGTGAAATTGAGTGGGTTGATTGTGCTGTACGACAATTATGCCGGAATTGATCTAATAACAAATCGTGTAAGATAATTATCTATGATTACATGAGGCATGTATCGCACCATTGATAATCATATTATCTAAGATGCCGGTCAGTAACTAACATCCCTTCTGGCATGTATCCACAGCGTAAGCATTAGATAGCGTTAATTGGAAGGGTTTTGCTGCTTTTTTGATAAGTAAGAACTTAAACGGACAGTACCGTATCAAAGAACTGCATTCCGTCAAATCATCGACGAGTCCCGTCCGCAGGCGCCCACAGATACCTTATCCTAGTTTAGCTAAACAGAATAGCCACAAATACCCAACAAAACAAGGACATTGTCTCGGTTAAAAACAATCTTCCTCAGAACACGCCCGATGATAAAGGCCCAGTCGGCATTTGTTGGAAAGTATAGGTCGCGGATTACACACATTCCACGAATTGGAATTTCTCCCTAACAATTTGTCGTCTTGTGGGCCCTTTCATTATCCCTACCCAGTCGCTCGCGCGCGGCGAGTGACCAGTTGGCCGGTCGGCTTTTGTCTTCCCACCGGTAAGCGCCGTGTGCATTCCGGCCTCCTATCGACCACGCCGGCCGGCCCATTACAAATACAAAATTACCAATATCACTCTTCTATTAGTTATTACTTTTGACGTGGCGGCGTGTAGTTACAGACAGTTTTACACTTTCGGTATTTCAGTAGTGGCGGCCTGGTAATTTTCCTGAACCTTTCCGGAGGCGAAAAAAAGCAGAGATTGATGATCTATGGCGGGCCGAGTGGCGACCCCTGCGGCAGGCCGGCTGATGGCGGCGGCAGATACCGGCGCGGCGCGCAGACAAATAGGAACCGGCCCGATCGCGCCAGACGCGCTGGAGTCACCGGCAGAGCGCAGACAAACAGGAGACATGGGAGCGGCTCGGCCAGGGGCAGCCCACCGCAATCAGGGGCCGGCCGGCCGTCTCCGTAAACAAAAAGGAGCCGCCGCCAAACAGGTGCGCTGTACCGCCGTGTGTCTTGCTGTTCGACAACGCCAGGTGTTGGGATGGGGCTGCTGCGCATAACAAGTGGTGTTATCTTAGAGATAACTGATCTCTCACAGGCTGCAAAGCCTGAGCAATGTTTGGAGAAAGAGAGGAATATATATATATATATATATATATATATATATATATATATATATATATATATATATATATATATATACAGATTTGGTTATATATATATAATATATATACAGATATTATCTCTTAGTATTTAGCTTGTCTTGTAAAGGCATTGGATTTTGCGCTTGGTTATGGATTTCTCTGTACAAGTTCTGTCACTTTAGAAACATACTTATTCATACGGGCTTCAACTTAAAGTGAAGTAAGACTAGAAAACAATTTTGAATTTCGACTGTTACACATATCTACCTTTGAAAGTGATTCATTTTTTTTGACCTTTTTCACAATCTACTAACCTAAGATAGACCGGTATTTTTTCCATTCCCACGTTATAACAGAGCGTATGTACTTGAAGCAAGTACCTACTACCACAGATTGATGAAATGCATTAAAGCCTGGAGTTCTATTAAATGAAATACAAATGAGTTTCATAGTGTTGCAATTTTAGCTGATGAATATAGTAACTTTATCAATGGACCCATTTTGACCCTAATGTCAAAATTGAGAGGAGGCTGTACACAAGGAAATACTATATTTTGAATGGCAAATTAAAACATGATTAAATGCACATTGACGTGATTTAAAAGGTAGAGGCTCTTGAATTTTGTGACCTTCTACAGCTTTCCGTTTCCACTTTATCACTCGATTCATTGATCATGATTGCTATATCAATCATTTATATTATGATTATTGTAGATAATTACTAAATCCTTACTTGTTCCATTATGTCCGGGTACAGGACAACATGACTTACTAATGCTATTTCAAATGTCTTTGCGCGCAAATGATAAACAATCCTCTCAGAATTTCAGTTCTTCATTGCGTCTCAGGTTCATGTATTCAGCAAATGCTTGTTCTTTGCGCCAGCTACCTGTCTTCACCAGCTTACTTTCCGCGCCTATTCCTGACTGTTTGCCTTTAAATCGTGGCCATCAAACTGACCTATTTTGCTGGCGTGGTAAATTTTAAAACCCGGCAAAGTTCTCTCAGCAAAATCCTATTTACCGTTTATCAGGTCAGCATTATTGTGCTATGGAATAGCACCTTTGTAACTGCACATTATAAAATGGTAACTGTTTTAGCCATCTCACTGCGAAAGCTTTGTGTAGCAGTCGTCGACGATGGACGCTTGCTGTTTTCAAACTAAGACTCGAACGATCAAATAACAATAGTAAGACCGATTCCCCTGTTCCCATTCCTCTATTCATTACTATTGGGTTAGTAGTGACAAACAGTTTCATTTATTTGTACCAAAAGGCTAAATGGATATCACATAAGGTCTAAGGAATCGTTGTGTGCGTTATAATGAGCTTTTCACTAACCGTAAATCGGTGAAATTTTCCCCACCGCTTTTATAAACCATTTGATTGAAGGTGTGAGAATTTCTCTTTCAAACGTTTGTGTTGAACGTCCTACCATGACGGGGTAAAACATTCACGGCTGAAGAACAAAGAATCAATTTGACAAGCCTATCAAGCTATCATCAGTTCGGGCACACGGTGGACCTGAGCCGTGACTGTGAAACCGGCTCTCATCGTGACCGAGTTTCGCGCGTCGCGCGTGTGCCGCCGCTGTCGCCACCTCCGCCGGTCGACCGGTGCAGTGGCGTCCAGCCCGGCCCGGCAATGGCGCCTCAGCTCCCAGCTGGCTCTGCATAATCCCGCCTAATGACCGGCCGGGCCGGGCCGGGAGATTACAGGCCGTCGCGGCGCTCGTCCGGTGACCGAGCCGCAGTCAGACCCCCGGGCGACAGATCCGGCGCCTCCACCCTCTAATACACCCGCTGCACCCGCTCGGCCCGCGCCCATCAACTCAATAGAATGTCTCAATTTTTCGCCGCCTGGTGGCGCCGCTGAGTGGCACTTGTGTCGGCCCTGTCGCTCCTCCATCTCTCTGCCAGCTCAGACAGCGCTATTCATCATGGAGAAGTATATTTATGCCTCTCGTTACAGCTGCGGTGACATTGACATAGCACCACCGATGCATATACGTCATTTGACATCGACACTCATTCGCCGTGACATCAGGTACACAGACAACAACAACAGCAAACCAATAAAATACATAAACATCGATAAAGCATAGGAACGATAAAGGCCACGGCCGCCGTGCCGAGCCGGGCGGGCCTGCGGGGGTGCGGGGGACCTCTCTGAACCGGCAATAAGGGGGTTGATCTGTGAAGCTGCGGGTGCGGGACTGACTGGCGCCTCCTAGCAGCTCCGGTCGCTGTCCGAGGCCGACTCGCACTCGGAGTGCGACGAGCTGGCGCCCGGGGACAGGTGGCCGTGCTGGGCGTAGCCGAGCACGCCGCTCAGGCCGGCCAGCCGCAGCGGAGCCGGGTAGCAGGCGGCGGCGGCGGCGGCGGCCGAGTACGGCCCCCACGGCACCCCGTAGGCGGGCAGGGGAGCCAGCGGCGGCAGCGGCGCCAGGCTCGGCTGGGGCCGGCTCAGGTAGCCGCGGTGCAGCGGCTCCGGTCGCACCGGCTCCGGCCGGGCGTCCGACTGGGCCAGGCTCTCCACACTGAACGACTGGCGTGCCCGGCCGGCCGGGGCGCACGGCGGGTAGGCCGGAAACGGCGCGGCGGCGGCGGCGGCGGCGGCGGCGGCGGGGGCGGCGGGCGGCGGCAGTGGCCGGCCGTAGGGCACCGGGCGGCACGGCGCCGACTGGGCCGCCAGCACGGCGCGCACCACCTCCTTCTCATCCTCGGTCAGCTTGAAGCGCTTCCTCCTGCGCAGCAGCGAGCCGTTCTCGAACATGGTCTGCGCCTTGGGGTGAAGCGTCCAGAAGGCGCCCTTGCCCGGCTGGTCGGGCCGGCGCGGCACCTTGACGAAGCAGTCGTTGTAGCTCAGGTTGTGGCGCAGCGAGTTCTGCCACTTGGTGGCGTTCTGACGGTAGTACGGGAAGTGATCCATGATGAACTGGTAGATGCTGGACAGCGGCAGCATGCGCTCGGGACTGTTGGCGATGGCCATGGCCGTTAGCGAGATGTAAGAGTAGGGCGGCTTCTGGTCGCCGTATGACTCACGGGTCGGGCGCGGCATGGCGGCGGCGGTGGTGCTGGGCGAGGCTGGAGCACAGCGGCGTCACTGAGTCTTCGCAGACCAACTGGTGGCGGCTGGAGCTGGTGACAGCTGGCGACGGCTGGTCACTGACGATGACGGGCGAGCTGATGACGTGCGACACTGCTGACGACTGGCGATGACGGCAGACAGCGCGGCGTCGTGCGTCACTCGGCGGCAGCGGCGGCGCGACTCTGCCGATCGGCGGCGCCGCCGCCACCAGCGGCCGGCCGGGGGCGGAGCCTGGCCGCCGCGCGGCCGCTCATTGGTCGGCGAGGTGCCAGAAAGGCGGCGCCGGGGGCGGTGGTCGCGCGGCGCGGCGGCGCCCGTGGGAGGCAGCATGGTAGAGGGAGAGGGGTGAGGCGCACTGCGTCCGGCCGGCCGCGGCACCGGCGCCCGGTGCGGCACATGATTAAACACGGCCCGGCGCGGCCATCCCGCAGCCGCGGAGGAAGCAGGGTTCGTGACTCGCCTGCAGTTGCCCGCCGACCCCCGCCGCCAGCGCGGCCATCTAAATGAAAACAGAAATTTAGGAGACAGCTTGCAGCGGGTGAGCGGCCGCGGCAAATTTATCGCTCCACCTGAAACCAAACAAATTAATCACGCATGTATTACAAAGTCAAATTCATTTTACCGCCGCTTCCCGCTGATCGCGGATCGATTTCGGATAGCGGGGCATGTAAATTCGGCCCTCCGTGCGGCGGTCGACAAACAATTTTCTGTCGACTCACGGCACACACTGCCTTGTCGCCACATCATCCTTGAAGGGTGACACTGCACCGCTTCCGTCCATAGCGTAGTGCCCGTCACCACCCGCGCGTTCCAGTCCCACTGAGACGATCCTTTCAGCCGCCGCTGACCTCACCTCTGTCCTTCTGTGAGCCAAATGCCCGCCTGAGGGCACCATTCAGCCCGACTACCGTCCAGCCACCAGCCCCGCCGCGGGCCATTCAGGCTGTCCGAGCTGGCAGCGGCGGCCGGCGCACGTGCCCCGTCCACCCTTTGTGGGCTGGCCGCCGGAGGTCCAGTTTGTCGGACGGCGGCAGTGAGTCGCATGCACAAACAGCCGCGCGCCCGGCGGCGGGGCACGGCTGCCTCCTCCGGCCCGCTGCCGACCGAGGCATTGTGCCGCGCCTGTCGCCGACCGGTGGACGGACGGTCGCCACCGCTCGGCTCAGCGGCCAGCGCCGCCTCCTGTCATGACACGCAGTAATGGGATGTCTTTAATGTTTACAGGCGCCATTATCTGCGGGTCATGCATTTGTGATCGGCCCGCCACGCTGTGGAGTGATAATTCAGTTTGTGTGTCGAGCGGCGGGCCAGAAGTCGAAATAATGTAAAATGGCATGACGCAGCATGTCGGGACGGGACAGTTAGTCTGATGAAGCGGCTGATGGGAGACACAACGGCTATTGTGGTATCATCGACTGTTGACCGACGTAAATGATACCTAGAGATGAGAGTTGAGACACAAATCTGCCGGCATATTAATGTTAATTTCATTCAGTGATAGAAGCGAATTTGTTCTTGGTTAGCCTGCTAATCACTAAGTTCGCTTCAAACGCGGCCTCGCGTCCTCACATTGTCTATCAAACGAGCATCAAACGCATTTTCACTTCATGAAATGTTGATGGGCTAGTACAATTATGAACGCTATAAATGGACATTGTAAAGCTGATGTTAATGACCATGCACCGGGTGTTCAACTGTTCATAGCTCGAAATTGAAGTCGGAATAAATAGCAAGCAAACTAGTCATTATCTTTCGTGGACACAAAATTACAAGTCCTGCTCCTCTACGTGATGATAGTGGCAGTGCCTGCTGCAACTGTGATAACACTTCCCCTGCCTCGTATGACAGTGGTGTGGTTAATTACTCCCATCCGATTGTGCATTTTTATTTGGTGTTGCGCTTCAGAGTTCAGCATGCTCAAACCACTGCTTGTTTTGCCACTCAGCTCATCACACACAGCTCTTGCTTTCCACTGTTCAGCGGCGCAGCCCTCACCCATGTAATGCCGCCATCACATTAGTGTCAGACCGTGTCTGTCGGTCCTGCTGTCAGCTCGTCTGTTCAGTATGCTCATCGTGCGCCACTGTCTGCAGCTGTCAGCAGCGGCGCGCGAGCGGAACGAACAGAGGAGCCGCCACTCGGCGCTGACGCGAGCGGCCGCCGAAAAACGCGGCCACAATCGGCTTACTGTCGCCGCCGTATGGACACGGTAGATCACCGGAACAGGATCAAACTGAGAGCGGCTGCCGCCGCCGCTCGCCGGGCTGAAGATGAGGAGACACTCCACCACAGGTGAGTGCGGAACGGGCTAAAGAATGACGATCAAGGCCTCTGGAGATGAGGAAGAAGGATGTATTCGGGGTTATCGGGAACGGGGCATTGAGCTGTCATTGATTTGCTGATTGAAGGGGATGTCCTCCTTATGGAAGAAGGGCATAATCAGTGCTCAATAAGTGGCGAAATGGGTTAAGAATGACTCCCGCCCCGTTAGGTTATCACATTACTACCAACACACACGGTCGTGGTGGCGGCTGAAGTGAGACGACTGGAAGCACAGTCGTCGTCACCACAGTCACAGCGGTAATGGATGTGTAGCATAATGCTCGCGATGCCCGTATTTGAGACACATGGACGATATTCCACAGCGCGTCGTCCTTAGTGGCGAGCAGATACCTCCCGACAACTGGGAGACATCGGCCTCCGCCACTAGATCACTCTGACCTCTACGTCTACATTCTAAATTCTACCTTCACACTGGTCTGTAAATACCAAGGTCCTCACCCCAAACCAGGCACCCTCCCCTGCACCCCGCGGCACGTCTGACCAGGCCAGTCTCCTGCACCCCACTCAGCCCGCGCGCCTCCCATCTGGCGGCCGGGCCGCAGTGTGTCACGCCGGCCTCTCAGCTGATATTTATAGGTGAGATATGGCCATTCCGTCGGCCGGCCACAGTCATATCGGCCTAATGAACTCGAAACAAGAGATGGATGGAGCCCGTGATGCTGGAGCTGGACCGTATCGGCGCCCTCAACTGGCGCACTGCGCGTACCTGGGTAAAATACGGAGCAGGATTCGTTAGATGCGACGCTTTCTGAAACTAAGTGGGCTTGTTAGCTACCCAGGGTATTCCGTTCTCCAGGTGATCACATCCACCAGAGCACGCATAAGCATTTTAACTTATTTTGAAATGAATACATTTGCATATTTATGTTCCTTAGAAACTGGTTGTCCATTTTAAGCCTTTATACAGACGGTTGTTAAGCTCGTGCGGGAATATTGCGATACCAAAGTGAGGGAATCGGTGGTCGCGCCGCCTGAATTATTACAATGGGAGGCCAAGAACCGGTGATAAAAGAGACTGCTGATGTAAATATGGACAAGTGGATAATCCGCAAAATTTCACTGCGTTGCCCCGTGCCGAGGAACAACGCACTCGTGCTGTGCGGTGTTGCATTATCTACCGTTAAATGTCTGTTGTCGCATTAGCTTAATGTACTTCTAGAACGAACCGGCAATTCACATCTTTATGGTGAATTGGGGGTGCGTAAAATGCAGTTACGTGTTCATCAGTAGGTGATTTGATGCCTCCAATGTATCGATCAGCAGTTGCTGCTCGATTTACAGAAGTGTTCGAGCAGTCATTGCCCACTCAATTACCATACCGTCTATTTGTTCGATTAACCCGAGCGGGATCGGTTACTGCTATATGTAGTTCCCCGTAAGGCATTGTCCCATCAGATTACCATCGGCTGCGATTCTGTTAACTGGCCACCTTCGCCACTCGTAAACAAGACGTAAGTATATTGAGGTGTGCACTCTGCCATTTCAGGTAAATATAGGCGGGTGTCAATACTCACACCATTAGCAGCTGTTAGGCGGTTTCCGGTAATAATTCCGGTCCTGGGTCCGTCACTGCACGTTTGAAACGGAATTTCCCCGTACGTGTTGATGTGGAAATTAGTGTTCATAACTTTGCACATGCGCATGTCAATGACAGGCCATTGTAAAATATGTGCGTGAAACACATATTTACAGGCATTAGGGTGACGGTGGATTATTTATGTGATGCCACTGTGGTTGTAAGTTATTTCTATTTCTGGTGCGCTGCACACCAAAACGTAAAACAATATATACGAGGGCATTCGTCATGCCGTAATTATGTCATTGAACAGAAGGAAACCTGACGGCTTTTTGCATGACTGAAGGAACGTTTATGAGTTCTACTATTTTTGATGTTGAATGTCCTGACCTGAGATGCATCCAAGCATATGCGAGAAAAATGCTCGATCAGTGTTCGTGGAAGGGTGATATTACAACACAAAAGTTGAAATGATTATTGATTATTAGATATTCGAAGCCAATAAGTGGGTAAGGCCTCGATGCTGTTTAAATCATTTAATAGGTGTCAATACTAGGTGTTCATTTCATGGATTTCATTTATAGGTGTTGTGTGGTGAGGTCTGTGTGCACACCTGATTACGGTTATATGCGCGGACGAGACTCGCGCCTCACACTCCCTGGCTACCCCTCAGGTCAGCCGCAGGTCAGGTCTCCAGACACAAAGGCCGTCACCCTGTCGTGTCGTCCCCTCCTCCTGTGTGCAGCGGCCGACTCCGGCGACGTATTCGATTAACGGCCGCGCCGACTGCGTGTCGCACCTCCTCACGGCGCGTGACACTGCGTGACACCCCGTGACACGAGGCCCGGCCCACCACACACACACACCCCGCTCGGCGCAGACACACAGACACACCATATGCTGAGTGATGTAATTGAAGACGAAGACGATAAGCGCGTGACTGCGTGTGACGTGTGGCCGCGATTAGATGTGGGGCGGTAATCATCGTCTCCCCCCTCTGCCCAGAGCACGTCCCAGTCCCCAAACGGGGTCCTCTGCCAACTCTGCACGCTCTCTCTCTTTCTCTCTTTCTCTCTCTCTTTCTCTCTCTCTCTCTCTCTCTCTCTTTCTCTCTCTCTTTCTCTCTCTCTCTCTCTCTCTCTCTCTCTCTCTCTCTCTCTCTCTCTCTCTCTCTCTCTTTCTCTTTCTCTCTCCGTGTGGCGTGCGCTATTCTTGTAACAGGCATGTCGGCCAGCCTTTACGATGTTGGTCCCAGTGACTGATGGCTCACGAGAGAAAACACCATCAATTGCGAGTCG